GCACACATCAAAAATGCACAGTCCCATCTGGGCTTCAGCTGGTACAAACACAGGTGCAGAAAGTCATAAGTGAAGTGCTTCAAGCTTGAAATTGCCCCATGAATCTCTCTCTCACATGCTCTCTCCCTCTCTCTCTCTCTCTATATATATATACATGTATATGTGTGTGTGTGTTTTATGTGGCAGTCAGTAGGTGGATGATGAAAAGTAAAGTAATCTTCAGGAAACTGGGAGCAGCTTTAATCTACATTCTTTTTAAATCTTATCCTTTAATTACACATAGCCAAAAAGGGGCTGCACAGTCTGGGAATCCAGAGAAATTAACTCATCAAATGCAGCACATCATGACAGGCTATAAGGGATGGCACTAAATGACAAGCCTCCTGAGCAAATTATTAATAAACTTTAATTTGGGAATGACTCAATTTTCTAACCGAGACCTATAATTTGAACGTTTTCAGAGAGGCCAGAAAACAAGATGAATCATCTTGAGTGGGATTTGGCAGAGGTTCCCCAAACCTATTGGGGAGGGTGCTTTGCAAATGTGCAATTAATGTGAATTTATTTTCTGCACAAAATCTGGATGAACTCTACGCCCCGGGCATACACAAATGTACACTTTTTAAATTTCTACCCAGGCACTCAAAACAACTGGCAGCAAGAACGAGAATGAAACCTCCCAACAGTGCTAAACATACGGCACCGTTCCGATGAGATGGGTTGCAACAATTGCCCAAAGGGTGCATTAATGTCATGCATTCGTTTATCAACTCTGGTAAGGACTCTACTGCTGAGGCACTTTTACAGCGGTCCCTTTCCCCCGGTACAGTACAGCTTTTGTTTCGCAATGACTCTGCAAGATCTAATCCTGGAACTGTGTGTGTATGTGTGTGTGTGCGTGTCTGTGTGTGTGTGCGCGCGCGCAAGTGTGTGTGGTGCACCTCAAAAACTTGGAAAGGAAGCGAGATACGGAGAACAGGGAAAAAACATGTGATACAACAAAATGGTACGTTTTAATGCCCACTGGCACACGGATATAGCAGAGAAAAGCAAGCACACAGGAATCCATTAGTGAAATACGATTATCTCTTGGCTCTAAAATTAATTAAGTGAGTGTAGGGCAGTGTCTGTGTGTGT